ACAACAACAAAAGAAGAAGGCTCCACAGCTGAAACGTTGTGTTTCTTTTCTTCTCTTTTCAGTATGGAATAAGCTTTTACATGTATATTTCGTACAGGTCCATTTTTTTAGTCAAACCAACAGTATAATGTTTCACTTCAGAATCCATTAACATTTTTCTTATTAAATTGTTAATTACAGCACTGTAACGAATTCACTTTAATACTGTCAAGCTGGATACCTTTAACTTCATTATTTAAAATGTTCTGCATTCATACGTTTTCTGTTCTTCACAGTTTATAAAAAGACATACTTCATGAATTCTAATGCACTCCATTCTGAATACCTGTGGAAATGAGGTTCTGGACAATTTTGCTCATTTGCCATACTGTACAGTACCTGCTTCTCGAGAAATCTGGATGAATGCTTCTACTCCTTTTTCCCCATAGCTGCCTTCTGAAGCCACCGTGGAAACATAATTCCACCCCATGGCCTTCACAATATCCACCATTGCCTGGGCTTGGAAGGAATCCGGAGGGACAACACGGGAGAAAAAATCGTAACGACGATCATCACTCAGTTCTGGAGCTGTGGAAGCGTAACTGATCTGAGGGATCTGTAGAAGGATAAAAACAGAAAGATTGGGAATTAAGTGGCTTACCATTTAAAGCACATATTTATTCATTTATATGACTGTATTAGCTGGCACCTCAATAAATTATAATTTCAACTCAGCTACTGTATATCAGGACTATACTGCATGATGTAAAAAAAAAAGAAAGGAATGCAAAGTTACAGTATATTTTGCAATGTGAATGTTCTATTTAAATTAGAGCTCTTCATTCAATATCCAACCCTCAAATTTCTCTCAAAGCATTTTGAGATTTTTCTCCAAGAGTTTAGTTATCAGATCCTTGCAATGCTATGAGATTTTTACATTTCTCAGTGCTCCTTCTCCATCTCTCCCATCAACACTTAACAACCTAGATAATGGAACTAACATTCTCCCTGAAATAGACCGTACTGAGCCGCAGTATGATGAAATGAAGGATTTATGAAGAAGTAAAACAAAATACTGTAGACTAAATCAAGCGAACAAGGTGAAACTAAGTACTAAACCACAAGAACCAAGCAACTGTTTGCAATTTAAACTTTATAATATATTATTGTACCTTTTCACCCTCCTGAGGTTAATTTTACATGAAGTGGCTAAGTGCTCATATAAAAAAAACACACTGAAATGCACTGTACCAGAAAACATGATACAATCTGTTAGACTTGTTGAGAACAAGACAAAAATCTGAAGACAAAAATGTCTACTTAATATCTGGCTTTCCTGTTAGAATAAAACAACGATATATATGAAAACATATTTTATATTGTTTTCGTATTTTATCATGTTTATTTTTATTCAGATCATGTGCATGTAACATAACCATTTGTGCATTTTCCATCATATAGCCACAATAAGCAATTTGTAAAATTTTACTTCCCAAAAAACATATCGATCTGTAGGAGCCAAAGAATACTTGCATTTAAATATGCTTAGCTAATGCAGTCCTAGTGTCTTTCCTTTATTTTGCAGACAAAGAAAATAATCTCATAAAGCAATAGAAAGTTTTTTTTTTTTCAGTGTAAAAGTAATAATCTGTGAAACAAACAAATCTTTTGATTGAGGAAACCCTCTCAGATTTGAAAAGAGAACTGCATTCTTTTTGGTAAGAAGAACTTTGGGAAGGTAAAAAAAAATAAAACATATTCCTTCCCTAAATGAAAGTTGCTCCTAGGCATTTCATATTAGCAGTAATGAAGCCATAGGTGCAGCATGATGGATGACTAACACACTTTTAAATTAGTTTTGGCCCTTGACTTCACTTCTTGTAAATATTAATCATGTTTCTAATTAATCATCAATTAACCATCACACTTCTTAACGTCAAGTTTGCATTACATTCTAGACCAGCCTGAAATGTTAAGCACAAAAATGTTAGTTTGACATTTGTACTGTGCTGTACTGTAGGTATTAATGTCTTTTTAGACACATGTGAATTTAAATTTTTGGTCTGCTTCAACAATAATTTTAATGGGAATTATTTAACATGAGAATAGTAACTACATGCTGGATGTCAGATCATCACAATAGCTCCAGGTTCTCCAAGCTTTTCACTTATATAAATTTTATTTTCAAGAATTACTACCCTAGAGCAAGGATTGGAGAGAAAAAAACACATCTTGAATTATTTCATTGTGTTTACTTGATTAAAATAAAGACCTTCAATTGCCTTTTTTAAAAGTAACACTCAGACTCTTAGAAAATATTAAGGATTGTACCAATGTATATTGAGTGCAAAACTCAACCTCTGAAATCTAGATATTTAAATGGAAAAAATCAGATGAAATAAAATGCCCAAATACAAGAACTACAAATTCTATTTAGGGCACAGAACGAAGAAACCAAATCAAAACCACATTTTATAAGAAATTATAGACAACAGCACAAACAACTATGGCAGGATCATAAGTACTGTACATTTTGTTTCCACTTTGATGGCATCTGACAATTGTGTTTAATTTGCACATTACATTTTAAAGACATTTTGTTATTAATTTATTATATTTCATAAAGTAATGTTGGTTGATCACGAACCATTCAAATATCACAATTTGGTCTCTGTTATCAATAAACGTCAATGTCACAGAGCAGAGTTTCTATCCTGAGGAGGAAGACAGATGTGAGAGACAACTTGATAATACTTGCCCTTTTCACAGGGACTGGTATAGAGCAGTACAATTGAAAATATTATTTGTATACTGTCACCCACCCACCTTATAATCTGGATCTTTCACTTGTCCAATATACAGTATTTACTGAGTACATTTTCTGCTATTCAAATGAATTTTTACCTTTACAGTAAGTTTTAAAATACCTCTTCATTATCAACCCAGTTTTTAACGGAAATAATGCTTCTTACAAAATCAAATGTATATTCGAAACTTTCAAATATTTATCAAAATAAATGAAAGAATCAAGCCTTCATCTGGGGTAAAGAAAATGTGTTGTCCTTCATCATTACAGTACAGGGAAAAATTTGGCCCTATCAAAACTTAGAGATAGCAAACCCTATCAAAGACGATGAAGATTTATGAAAATTTAAACAGTACAACCTCAGTGGAGTTCCATATACCACAAACTCTTGCGCATGTGGAAGTTTCCTGATTTATTTTCGCAATGTGTTTTTCCCTTTATAGTTTTCCCAAAGCCTGGGGATATTTCTTTTGCCCACAAGCCTCGGGAGGTTTCTCAGCTTCAAAGAAAATGTCAGTGAGCACCACAACTGCAGCAGCTATGGCATTGCTTATCAAGACTTGCAAACCAAGCCAGACAATTCTAGGATGCAACAGGAACCCCACAAAGCTCACAAAGCTTGAGAGCTGAGGCCTTTTTATCTAATGCAGTACTTCCCTTAAAGTGAATTGTATAGCTCCATATGCTTTTTTCAGCTCTCCAAGATTGCTCCAAATGAAGCTCAGGAATCAATGAGCTGCTAGAAATCAGACAATCTATGCTTATTAGCATCTTTCCCTCTGTATGCCAGAGCTGTACAAGATGATTATTTGATTGCCTGAATTGGGTTTTCAAGGAGCATTTAAAATGATTGATTATAAGTAGTGAAAATTGCTACTTTCAACAGTTTTCTTTAAGTTTTCCCCAAACTCCAAAACACAACTATTTTGAAAAATCTCATTCTTCTACCACTAAAGGAATGGGTTTATTTAACTTTGGGGTTAGTAAGAAAAGGATCTATAAACGGGTCTATGCTACCAAATAATTAATTAATTAGAATTAATTAAAGTGGAGAAACAGCTGCTCCATAAATAATATAAAACACAATTGAGGAAAAAAGTTTAAAAGTCTTTATTATGGAGTCTAAGAAATTCCAGACAAATCTGAATAGCAATCTTTAGTCTTCCGGATTTGTTTTCTGCTGTACTGTAGTTCCAGCGCTTTCAGAAATAGTACACTCCTTAGGTTTCATAGACAGCTTACTGACTTTAGTCTTTATCTGCAAAAGAAGAGGGTAAAACCTTTACAGACTTGAAAATTAGTTTTCTTTCACATTCTCCCAAGGTTTGCTGTAAAAATGAATTTCAAAACACTGATTCTGATTTATTTGATCCCTGTCTGGGCATGTCAGCCTGCGTAGGTCCCAGAAGTTATTTCCTGTTTCCTTAAGAATTCAGTAATTCACTCATTTGAGCATTCTGATAAGGTTTTTTTTTCAGGGCCCATTTTTTAATTAGCCTTTTGAGTTCTCAGAATTAAATGTCATGACCAAGTCTCCTCCGTAAAACATTAAATGCATCAGGGAGCTTTATACCAATAAATATGTCAAAATATATACTTATTCTAGTAACATTATTAACCTGAAACTGATGGTTTTCCTACCTCCCTGTGTATAATAAATGTAGTGGTATTGAATTAGTACTTTAAAGATGTTTATATGAATAGATACTTTCCATTTTAGAATGACAGTTTTTAAATCGGATGTACAGTATACCTCCTGTGTGAAAATGTATCTTCTGCACAAGTCCAACCAGATTACCATATACTGTACTGTACTGCCATGTGTCTATGAGCATCAGAGCTTAATCTTTTGTTACCTGTATTTTAAGTATTTGTCAGAGCTGCCCTTTTAATATAAAGCAGGGCAGTTACAATTTTATTACTTAGTTTAACTTGAATCACATAAATTGAGAATATTTATTTTCAAGCTTCCACTGCATCCAATATATGGACCAAGAGGAAGTACAGATGAACTACATTTCTTCATCCAGGCTATTTGCTGTACTTCTTCTTGCAACTGGATTCTCAATGGTTGAATGACATGTCTCCCATTTATAAACATCCAGTGTTAATAGCATCTGGCCACAGACTTAGACTTTTTCTGGGGGCTACTGTATATTTAATGAAAGATTAGGGTAAATGTATTTCAGATTAAATATATTAAATATGTGTAAGCTTAACTATCAATAAAATGAAATTAACCCTCAGGAGATGCAAATGGCTTTTGAATCACTGGCATACCTCTAGATAAAACCAATTTTATCAACTGATGTAAACAGCAGAACTGAAGTTTGGAATTAAAAAGATTGTTAACCTGTTTTAAAATGCCCACTGGCATTTTAGTCATCAACTGTACTGTACGGTGTTCCATTTTCCTCTGTTTTACAGTGATAACACATTACTTATCTAACAATACTACAGAATGTCACAAATGAATTCTGAAATTACTTCTGGAATCAGGCCAAATCTATTAATCAATTTGTTTCCTTTAATTTGTTGTGCAGTTTACCAAAAGATAATGTAAACATACAAAAAAACAGATTCTGAAAATGACATTCTATGTACTTCTACATACTTTGCAGGATAAGGTTTGCATGAATACTGTATGAACAGTTATTTTAAGATCTAATAAATCTAATACGTACAATTGCAATGTCTTGGAAAGTCCAGTGTCTTACTGTAACTTTTTATGGCATCAGTAAATTAGTAAATGGAGTTTAATATTTTCTTAATTATTCTGGATTTTCCTCCTGCTCTTAAAAAACTCTTAT